TTTCTCAAGCCAGAGCTAAATTTGGTGACTTTCTCAACTCCATTCCCCTCTAGTCTAGCTTCCACCTGTGGTCAACCAAATACGATATAGTCCTTTGAGCATCAGGCAGGGCCTGGGGAGACTTCAGTTTCCACCCAACCAGGATGCTTGGGTGAATCTCTGCTTTGCAGTGGCCGCTAATACTGGCTTGAAATAACTTTCTCCAGCAAAATCATTCTGTGAGGCCAGCCTTCAGGAGATGATACTTGGAGTGAGTTTCAGAGTATTACAAAGGCCTGCGAGTATCAAGATGTTCACTCAGGAATGAGTTTTACACGTTGTGGAACTTATGATATGATACACCAGGAGCTCCATGCAATTGTAGGAGGTCTACAGCTTAATTCCAGTGACAGAGTTGAAGTCACGCCTTGTTAAACATGCAAATTGCAAACAGAATTTAAAGGATCACTCTTGCTAGCTTCTTCAGCCTTTCATTTGCAAAGCAACAAGAACAAAATATGAACTCTCCTTGGCTCAGGGCTATCACCAGCCAAACAAATTGTCTAATAATAAATGGTTTTAGTGGTGTCCTAACAATTCTTGTGGAGCCAGCTTGGTGTCGTGGTGAAGGCATCAGGCTAGAAACCTGGAGAATGTGAGTTCTAGTCCTGCCTAGGCACGAAGCCAGCTGGGTGACCTTGGGCCAGTCCCTTTCTCTCAGCCCTAGGAAGGAGGCAAGGGCAAACCACTTCTGAAAAACCTTGCCAAGAAAACCACAGGGACTTGTCCAGGGCAAACCACTTCTGAAAAACCTTGCCAAGAAAACCACAGGGACTTGTCCAGGGCAAACCACTTCTGAAAAACCTTGCCAAGAAAACCACAGGGACTTGTCCAGGGCAAACCACTTCTGAAAAACCTTGCCAAGAAAACCACAGGGACTTGTCCAGGGCAAACCACTTCTGAAAAACCTTGCCAAGAAAACCACAGGGACTTGTCCAGGCAGTCTCCAAAAATCAGACAGGACTGAACGGATTTAAAAAAACAACCACCTATTCTTGTAGTTTGAATGTGGACGTGTGCTCTACATGTTTCTATGGTAGCTGAAAATCCATTTGGCAAGCAGAAAGCTCCTTGTTACTTAAAGATTGGTGATTCTTTTTAGATACTTTCCTTTTTTTATACAACATCAAGTCTACAGCCCCAGTGTGCCGGAAGGATCATTGGAGTGCAACGGGAAAGAATTGGGAACACATCTGTGTGATTTGTGGGTGGATTCTTTTATCTCCTTCCCAGTTAGGGCATTTGAAGACTTATCACCTTTAAGATTAGTTTGAGAATTTCACTGAGAATGGACACGAAAAGCTGCCATTGCTGGAAACCATCTCTTCTAAAAGAGATTTTCTTGAGAAAATTGCAGAATGCAAAAAAGGAACCCTAAACAAACAAACAGATAGTGAAGGATTTCTATAGAATTTGTGAGAGATTCACCAAAACTGTGCTGCAGGACAGATGGCTAATAGCATTTAACGGATTCAGTAGCGTTCATCCTCCTCTGGTCCAAAATCTGTATGAAAAGACCTATTATTTTGTGAAAGATAAGCCTGCCCTACAGGGGTGGTATTCTTGGGGTGGGGTGTCAAAAAAGTCAAGACGGTGGTTGTGAAATTAAAGACCTATCCTTTTTTTACGTGCAGACATCCTTAGCTTCACTAAAAAAAGCAAAAAGAAGGAAAGGAGAGAGAGAAAGAGAGCCTACATCAAGGAAACTAACATTAACATCTTTAGAGTAAATAAAAATTATATATCCCAAGATGACTTCAAGGAAATCTGCATTAACACAATAAAACAGACCAGATTTTACCCTGATCTCCACATCAGTATCCTATAATTTTGATCACTCAGTATTCTTTCTTTCTTATGAAATCATCCTATGTGAGAACAGCATTTGGAAATAGAATAAAAACTTAATATAAGGTATTGCAAATCTCTAGGCATGCTGTTATTTTATTGCCTGGGGCAAACTTTGTTTAAACAGTCTGTGATTGCCTTAAACATCACAGCAAAAAAAAAAAAAAAAGGAGTCCTCGGTGCTCTTTGAGCTTAGTTGCTTGGACTGATCCTCATCATCGTGATCATCACCATCATCATCACCATCATCATCAGGGCACTGATGATGTTATCTAGTTGGGTAATGAAACTTCTGCAAGTCAACAACCAAGCTCAGAGAGCACCAAGGACTCCAGAAAAATCCAGAAGCAGGATCCAAAGGCCTGATTTCTTCCCTTGTCCAGATAGTTCCCATTCCAATGAGAAGATGACACTTGACTTCAAAGAACTTCGTCCAGATCTAAGAGTATCTTGTGTTGATCCCATATCCTGTGAAGTAACATTGCCATCTGCTTCTCCTTCTTCCCATAAACAGACATTTTGTAGCTATGGTGGAGACCTCTTCTCCCATTTCCATCCAAATTCTCTCCCCAGCCCATCCATGGCCTCACCTGGTTTCTTCCGTTGTCCAGATGTTGACTGCCACAAGGATTGAAAGACGGGAGCTTAACACTATAACTTATTCACTGCAAAATATGGGCAAGTCACAACCAAGGACATTTATTTTATGTCTTTATTATTTTTTTCACAATAATAAAAAATAAATTAGTTGTAAGCAAAAATATCTTTTTTTTTCTCATTGGCGAATATGTATACAAATATTAAGGGAGGCTGTACAAATCAGGTCCAGGTGCATTGCTGAGCATATAAATCCTGAACTAGTCTATAGGTACTTTTAACTTATACATCTCTCACTTTGTAAAACAAGAAGCCATTTGTAAAAATGGATTATTAACCATGGAATTAAAGCATACCCATTAAATATGGATTTAAGTATGATACTTATATATTCAACATGGTATAAAATTTCCAGGCTAAAGGCTGGTTAGTATTACCAAAAGAACTGGACAGACTTGGCAGTGGAATATATAAATAAATACAATTTTAGTCCCTTTTTTGTATGTTAAAAATACACAACAAAAATATCATTTTCTAAATAATAATAGAACTATTTTGATGTAGTGGCTTATTCTGTATAGACATAGTTTAGAATACGTACTTTCCTATAAACATCTTGTATTTACAAATATAAAAAATAAGTTATAAAAAAGTATATCCTTCCTTATTTTGGCCAGATGGGGTTAATTTTAGGTTAATTGACATTGGGGATGTGAGGTGGGACCTCATTCTGCAACTTGCCTAAATCTGGCCTAGTTTTCGTGCCTCCATTGAACAGGGATGACAAATCTCTCCAGCTTTGCATAAACAAAGCTAATTTTCCCCAAACCAGGGCTTAATCTTGCTTGTTGCAAAAGCCAACTGTGATCTGAGCCTAAAATGGGTTGGAGGGGGAGACAGGGAAAAAGTAAAGATCGCCTCCCCTTGAACTGAAATCAGCCCCAGAGACAAAATCTGAGCTCCTCATTCCTGACATGTCTTTGAGGTGAGCAAGACACGTCCTTGAGATTTCTATTTCTGGGCCAAGAAATTAAAGATGCTGCGGTAGAGCTACCCTGACTGATTCTCTTCAGTCAGTGCCTCGACTGAAAATCAAATGCAATCACTAGGCTATATAAACATAGTTAAGTTTGAACCCAGGATATGGGAACTCATTCTCCACTTCTCCAGTAACAGGAAATAAAAATGATGGAATGCATCAAACACACTTAGCCCAGAGGGAAGTCTTGTGTACCGATCATACAAATGAAACACAGAGGCCATTAACATGGGCTCCTTAAACTCACCACACAGCTGAAGAAAGGAATGTGGTGAATCTGAAAAAGAAGACCGGAACAACCTGCTTGTTTACTTGACGTCAGTTGAAGTAATTGAAGAAATAACATTCTGCGAGACTTGTGGGGTGGGCAGGGGAATGAATCCGTTTCTACACAAAACATCCCTCCACTGCACAGCCCTCCATGGTTGCATTTTCATAAGTCAAAGAGAAAGAGAACATTTGTTGGGTTGGTCAACAGAGTCTATGAGTCCAGCAAAGCCAGCCAGAGGTCATTCGGATGAGATTTTCCAGATCTATCCTTGCCCTTCAAAGAGAATGTGAGATGCCAAATAGTCCTGTTTGGACAACACCTCTAATCTAGACAACCACTAACTAGCCAGGTCTCTTTGCCAGTTGCAGCACCCAATCAGATGATCTTAATCAAAAGTGACAATGCAAAGGCCTCTCCCACTTCCTCCCAGAAGTGCCAGATAGTCCATGAACTCCCATGCCTTATACTATCAAGACTTCTTTCAGTCGTTCCTTGTTGGCCAAGTAGGCATAGCTTGGTTGCTCCATCAACAAGTATTCGGGGAGGTATTTCTGTGCTCCCAGAAGTCCTATAATAGCCTGGCATTTTCAGCCACTCTTTATCTTCATTGGGGGACTGATGGCCAGGTTTGGAAACTGGCCCCCGTTGCACTGGGTCATGGAGCTCCCATTACCTAGCAGACCAGGGGAGAGTAGTGTGACCTTCCCCAAAAAACAGGGTGATTTGGGTTAAAAAGAAGGCTGCTCAGTTATGGGGCTCACCGAACACCTTTTCCCCATGGCTGTTCTAGCAAAGGGTGTGGTGCAAATAGGAGGCAGTATGAAATGCAAATGAGAAGAGTGAATATAAAGATTAGATGTTCATACTTCAATAATAAGCAGGTCTTTAGGACAGAAGTCCAGGGCTCCCCTAAGCAGAAAGAAGAGGAAGTCGTCCAGTTGAAGCCAGATTCCATTATCACATTCTAAAACAGTATTTTTCAACCTGGGCAACTTTAAGATGTGTAGACTTGAACTCCCAGAATTCCCCAGCCAGCATGCTGGCTGGGGAATT